AAAAAGAGGATTCAAGGCACCCCTAGTTAGACTCAAGTACCCCCTTGGAAAACTCTAGCTCTTACTTATTTCTTGACTATGGAAAAACAACAGACCAATTCTTTTTTTGCAAAGATCTCAAAGCCCAGAACGTTATTGATACTATGAATCCCTATTGGCAATTCCTGGGTTTATCATCTGAATCATGTGCAGGTGTTTCCACACTACCAGTCAGAGAGACTCAGACATTAGGGCAGGAAGGGCCCTCACGAGATCATTAGGTCCAGCCCCTTCCCGAGGGGCAGGAAGTCAGCTGGGGTCAGGTTACCCCAGCAAGATAAGCATCCAAGTGTTCCTTAAAGGTATCCAGAGTAGGTGCTTGGACCACCTCTGGGGGGAGGCTATTCCAGACTCTGGAGATTAGGACGGTAAAGAAATATTTCCTTGCATCCAGTCTAAAACAGTCTTCCAGTAGTTTATGACTGTTAGACCTTGTCTTCCTTTGGGACACCCTGGTGAACAAATGTTCTCCCAGTTCCTGATGCACACCCTTTATATACTTTATATATTAAGTACAGTCCTAATATTGCATGGCAACCCATGGCACCCTTATAAAGGATCTTATGGCATCATCTCTGATTGAAAATCACTGGCTTAAAGTTCAGGGCACTATCTTAAGACTAAAGTGACACAGGTTCTATTCTCTCCTAAACTATGCACCCCCAATGTGTCCTTGTTCAAGTCACTTAGTTTCTCTGTGCCTCAGATCGTCACCCATGAAATGGGGATAGTATTGCTCAAGCTCATAGGTGCATTATGAGGACAATACAATAAAGACTATAGGGCAGCATTTCTCAACCCGTTGGTCACAAGAATATATGAAAGGATCATGAACCAACATTAAAAATGCATTCTCCTTTAAAGGAGAAAAATATGGGAAACTGTGGCTTTTCCCTTGCAGGCTGGCAGGATTTCAGCCTGCAAGGGGCACCCCTTGGCCCACACACTGTGGGGCTGGGGGCATTGGGTCAGGAGTGAGGGGCACTGGACTGGCCATCACTGCTTATAAATGGGTCCTGGTACAAAAAAAAAGGTTGAGAACCGCTGCTATAGGGAACATTATTGTGATAGAGGATGTAGAAGTATTTTGGATTAGCTAGAACTGAGATGTTGGTAACAGGCTGCTCAAGGACCAGAGCTAGCAATATTCTGGCATCCGTCCCCAATTGCAAGGCTACATGCAGACAACACATCAAAACTGCAAATAAATAAGTAAAAAAATAAAAAGACCCATAACATTTTATTTGGTTCCCAAGCACAGTAGGGTCATCTGTATCTCACCAGAGCACTTCATAGTCTTCTCTTGATCTGCTGGTTTAAGGATTTCCTGGTCAGTACTATCTGTAAGAATTCGCCTTGTGTTTGGGTAGGAAGGTGAAGTTTGTAGGAACCGGTCCCAAGAGCATCTCACTGCAACAAAGCAAGGGATTGGTATTCATTCGTACCCTGATCCTCACGCTACCTCCCGCCAACACCCCCCCTCCAGTCCAAGCTGTGCCCTCTTCAGAGTATGAACTTCAGTCAAGGTTTTCTAACTTGGTGTCTGGTAATTCAACTCCCACAGACCCGCAGTGGGAATGAGGAGCCGAAATTCAATTTGTGCTCTTAAAAATATCCTCCCCTGCCTATCTTACTGCTTATGCCGAGCCACAGGCTGCTCGTTCTCAGCTATCAAGGGCCACGTGCCTAACTGATGTCAAATAATACAGCTGTACTGAAGTCAGTGGGGCAATGGAGGTTTCCATAAACTAAGGATCTGGCCTATCAATCCTAATATATTTCATATCTCAAAACTCAAATTATATTTAAGGTTGGATAGAATATTTGCTTTTATTGTGTTTTTGTGCCTTCTTTATGCACAATTCCTGGACGCTACTGTTTTCTCAATGTGAATTCATTACTCTTTTCCATTCCAAGACATGTAAGTAGAGAGTCCCACTAGAACAAGCAACAGCACACAAGCAAACTTTACATGTGTTGCATAAATATGCAGCTACTGGAGCACAGAACAAATAACGCACACTTCTACAACTGCCCTTCTGGAAAAAGATCGGTGCTTCTCTAAATTTTATTCTTTTAAAATTGTATTCTTTTAAAGTGAAAAAAAACTTTAAAAAGTTCTATATCTACAGTGAAAAGCACAGAACTGAGGTTTCCGAATCCTGAAGCCAAATAATCTTTGCTTGCAAAATGCCATTTTGAAAACGTGGCTGAAATGTAGGTGCAAGACAGGTGTTTTCATTACCAATAAAGCAGACACAGATTAGCAAAATCAGAGAAGGCTGCAGTCATGCTTTATTTCTGCTAACCTCCTCCATATCCATGAGATGGGAAATAGTAGCTGGAATTTCCACCTAAGCTGAGGCTGGCTAAATACCTGCAGAGTAATTGTCTGAACAATGACGACTTTTTGGATGCCATGAAAAATGTTTCCTGCATTCCATAGCATTAACTCAGGACATTAATAGTGCTGAGGGAGGAAAAGTCAGCCAGCCCCTCAAGTCTATTAGATTGGAAGCTCTTTGGGACAGGACCCATTTTTTTTTTTGTTCAGTCTGCACAGGGCCAGGCACCGTGGGAGCCCAGTCCATGCCTGGAGCTTTTGGAGGCTACTGCTGTACAAATGTATCGCGAGTACTGTGGAATCTCAGACCTCAAGGCATCACGTTATATTTTCCCAACCTTGTCCACCTCTCAAACAATAACTGATTACCAAGTGTTATCAGAAAGACCAATTCCTCTTAGGTTTCAATAGACAGATGTGATCTACAAAGGCATCCATGGACAGATACCAACAATGGGAGGATCATATGGCACTACCAGCTTTAACCAAGAAGCAAGGGACTGCATAATCTTCATAGCTTACATGCTGGAAAAGCAGATTATGTTTCCGCCACCGAGTTGGAAAAACAGGATCAACTCTTTAAAATGTGAAGTTCTATGAACCCTCCACACCGAAATAAGATGGTTCTAGTTCTAAAGGTGCACACAAGCAGATACTGAGATTTAGCAGAGTCCAGTATTTGAACTTTAAGCTGTAGGGAGGTAACAGCTGAGACCACATGCATGTTTTGTGGCAAATGATGTCAGACATTTACCTTATTTTAACCCAGTCATCCACATTTTGGCTTGCCATTAATGTCTCCAGATAGTCTCTCCCCATATAGTAAGGCGGTCGCTGGTTGATTTTCTGAGGTAGATATTCTAATAAGCCAGTTGGAATGTACCTTACGATGAAAACAGATGCAATGAATGTCGCCACATTTTATTAGTCTTCAAAATACAGCAGATGCAAAGGCCAAGCAAGAAAAAGCTCTTTACTACCCAAGGTCTCAGAAAGCAAATTACCTGCACAAGAATGACAGCCATTCCAGCATGAACTTCCTGGTTTTCTCCACTCCCTGGCTGTCTGAGCCCCAGTGTTCAAGGCCATAATTGGTGAAGTTTTTGAGAATATCAAACCTTTCACTGGAAGAGATGTCCCAGTGTCTTTGTTCCTTGATTTCAGTGAAAATCCAGGGTTTGATCAAAGCCCCTCTGTGATAAGACAAGATGCTCAGATCAAACAGGAAAATGGTTGTGACCAAAGACAACATGTTGGTTTTGCTATGAAGAGAAACCAGGGTGGTTTTTTGTTGGTATCTTTTATTGGAACAACTGTCTTGAGGTGGCAAACTGCAGTATTTTCTACGCTGTTGTTATATGCAAGTTGGTCCAATAAAAGATACACAAGAAAACCTTGGTTCTTACATAGACCTGGGAGCATCCTGGGTACAACACCACTCAAATCTTGCTATAAAATGTAACTTCAGAAACAGGCTTTTATGTTTGAGACAAAGATGACCGTCACCACAAAACAGTGAGTCTGTCTTCGCCCGACTCACTGAGAAAACCTCTAGTAAAAGCAGCTTTCCTACAAAGTGCAGACTTCGAAAGAGGACAAGAACAATTCTGCTAGTCTCGTTTTCACCTGGCTGTATTTTTAGGGCTTGATTATATATCCTTGTAGGAACAATTCCCCTTGATTTCACTGGATGTTACACATCCGGGAATAATTTAGTCCTGATTATTGTTCTTCTTCTACCTCTGGCCAGCTTTTCTTGGCCCTTTCTTTGCATTCACGGATCTACCTAGAACCAAGGCAGAACAAGCAGCTATCAGGTCCCAGCATCTCTTAAAAAAATGGACCTGCACACACTGTACACTTGAGATCAAAGGCAATGGGAGCTTAACACATGCTGAGTGGTAGTGAGCAAATAAGTGCTTTATGGCAGAGCTCCTGCATGCAGCACAGAGGCAGTGAAAACATACTTCTACCTAGGTAGACTCTCTTTCTACAAGGGGAGATAGGGACTAGCCATTTATCACAAAGGAAACACATGGTTTAACTGGGAGATCCAGGTTTTATCCCCAACTCTCAGATCATTTTCAGATACTGCTGACACTGAACAGAGCAAAGCTACTGCTCAATCATGACTGCACCTCTTTTAAAAGCTTCTCAAGGGCCAGCAACTTCAGTTGGAAACCATTTTAGGTCCTTTCACACATATCAGGCTCTAAATAAGGTTAAAAATAAAACAGCCCTGCCAAAAGCAAACCCACATTATCAGTGCTTTTTTCAACTTTTATTTCTGCTTCAATGCAGCTTAGAGACATGAGAATAAATCAGAAATATAGCCACTTGCCTTGCAATCATAATTCCCGAAACTCCAGTCTGCATGGCTTGATTAGCATCTTCGTAAGATAAAATATCGCCATTTCCTGTGTCAGGCAGAAAGAGAAACCAGGTCAGAGTAACAAACAAGTCAAAATGAGTTAATCTAGGCAAAGGATAAAATTTAAAACTGCCATATGCTCTGACAAGTGATCCCGTAAGATAGTCTCACGCATTCCCTGTTTATAGTTCCTCGTTTTGCCTTTTCAAATAAAGAGATGTTGTTTTTCTAACTGTCAGTCCTAACAGTTTGACCACAGTGTGGCTGATAGCTTCTTTCTGACTTGTGTTCTCCAAATGAGCACATTATTGGTCATATTCTGCCACCATCAACCTTCAAATTCTATCCTGTTAACACCTGTTCAGCCTCATGCTACCCTGGAGTTCGACAATAACTACATTGATAATGCATTAAAAAAAGGTATGGGCTCTCCTGCCTCTCCAAAGCCAATATAGCTACAGTGTTTTTGTCAAAGTCCATAACTGACCTAGCATGAACGCAGGGGGCTGGGCAGCATATTTATCTCTGTCCATTCACTGACCTGAGAGTGGCAATAAAAGTGGGGGGAATGAACCTGTTGGGTAAGAGGGACTCATTCTGTAGCCCAGAATTATATTCAAAACCATGGGGCCAGCTACTAATATCAGCTGATAGTACTCCACCTTTGGACACCACTTCATGGGTTTGCCATTACTTGTCTTGTTACTTTAGGTTTTCCCATTGACTGTTTGTGTTCAGGTCTCTTAACATTTTAACTCTCCACAAATCACATTTCACAGGAAAAGTATACTAAATCAGCAAAGAAACCTACCAAATAGAGGCATTGGGCTGGCTATTTTAGCACATTCTGCTATGTACTCCCAGTCTGCAACCTTTGTGTAACGCTGTTCTCTAGATCGTCCATGAAGCTGAAAGAAGAAAAAAAAGACAGTGTTAGCACCTCTCCAAGCATGTAAGATGAAACAGAAGCAGAAGACAAGCAACTACAAGCAACAGACTGTACACAAGACAACAAATTCAGGGGACGCAGGAGTGAAAGACCCAGCTAGATAAAGCCTTGGCTGGGATGTAGTTGGGGCTGGTCCTGCTCAAGCAGGGGGATGGACTAGATGTGACCTCCTGAGGTCCCTTCCAACCCACATTTTCTATGATTCTATGAAATGCTGCAATAACAGAGAGCATAATTAACCTCCAGACCTCCAAGCTGCAGTGAACTGCAAAGAACTGGTTATCAGAACTGAAGAAAGATGAATACTTTACAGATAAGTGCAATATTTCAGCTGTATGGAAACTACAGGGATTATCAGCGTGGACAGAGATCAGGATGTTGGTAACTATGATGTGCCCAGCTCTGTTCTCTCCCCCCAGCAACAAAGCTTTGCTCAAAGGGCTGGGTTCATGCCCCTATCTCAAGCATTACCAAAAGGACTGTTACTGGGTTTTATGCATCTCAAGGGCCACAGATAAGCAAAGAACCACAGATACAATTTCAATCCCCTGACATCACCCACAGCAAGGTTCCTGTACCGTAACCATGGAAGCTCCCCACTCCCGGAGGCTGGGGATTACTTTATGAGCCAGGTTGACTTTTTCTTGCACACCAGTCCTTATCTTCACAGTCAGAGGAACATCCAGTACCTGTGGAGACAGTGCAGTGAAGCAAAACCAGACAGAAGAGCCTTGTTCAGAAACTTGCTCCTTTCCACTAGACATGACATCTACTCACCGAGTTCATCCCTCTGACAATCTGTTCAAACTTGTTGGAACGGGTCATTAAGGCACAACCACCTCCCTGCAGGATAAAATAGGCACTATCATAAATCTTTGTATTTTCACCTAATCAAAGAGCATTGGTGGAACCTGCCACACAAATGCTTTTTCCTTGCAACAAACAGAAAACTGGAGGTGCTTCCATCTTAAAGAGTCATTACGATCCAAACACTGCACCTTTTCCTTCAGAAGATCTGCCCTAACTGTGAAAGTCCGGGACATACAGTCCGTGGATGTCACTACAGGACTTGCTACTGTGCCTAACTAGTTTTTAGGCGTTTTACACGGTTCATGGGATGACAGTCTATGCTCTGTTAGACTGAGGTCAGACTGGGTGATCTCAATGCCCCCTTGTGGGTGCATTACTTAAAGACCTCTCAAATTAGAGAGGTTTAGACTAGACGTTAGAAGGCACTACTTCACAGTCAGGGCGGCTAGGATCTGGACCCAACTTCCAAGGGAAGTGGTGATGGCTCCTACCCTGGGGGTCTTTAAGAGGAGGCTTGACGTTTACCTGGCTGGGGTCATTTGAGCCCAGTTTTCTCTCCTGCCAATGGCAGGGGGTTGGACTAGAAGATCTACAAGGTCCCTTCTGACCCTACATCTATGAATTTATGAAATGGGATCCAGCTACAAAAAAAAAAAATCACTGAAACGTGTTTCAGGAGACCAGGCTTGATTTTTCAATCCCAGGTTAACCAAAAAGCCACTTAATTACTTGTTAAAACAAGCAGATTTGATTTGAAATCACTGCATCTTCCTATAGGAATAGAGGGAGCAAAAAACTAAGTAGTTTTCTTAAGACAAAGATCCATTTATGGAAGGGCTCACATGACCTAGTTGCCTGTGATAAGAGGCCTTGGACTCAATCACCCAACAGGTCCCCTTCACTCCTTTGTTACTAGACAGACCCTGGAATAGGGAGGGTTAAACTCTAGGTATAGGAATGATGGTCCTCAGATTCAGTAGGAAAGAGCAGCCTTTATGCTATGCTGGAAACAGATCAGGTATTGGGAGGTAAAGCAGAGAAACACCCATTCAGGGAGATGGTGGATTCTGCTCAACTCATTACCTTTTTATACACCAGATCAATTGGGCAGCCAACATTGATGTCTACAAAATCCACCTCAATATTCTGATTTAGGAGCTCTGCACATCTTGTCATGGTGTCAGGAAATGCACCCTCCAGCTGCAAAGGCAAGACAGGACAGAAATCAGCCGAGGCAGATGACTTCCCTATGAGAAATGCCTGAGTCTCAGCTCAAAGACAAGGGCACTTGGGTGATGTCTCTCCACGTAAAACATGAGATTTGTACCCAGTTTTCCTCATTACTGAAACAACCATCCTGACCTGCACTCCAAAGAGGTCTTCCGTGCAATGCCGCTTCAAGAGAGCCCATTCGGATGACTGGCCTTGAAGCAAGTTTGTGCACACAGCCATTTCTCCACAAGTGACGTCTGCTCCAAAGCGCTTGCATATTCTCCGGAAAGGGAGATTACCACACTGAGGGCCAGCCCAAGAGGAGAGAGTGAGAAAAATGATCTGTGCAGTTTTCAGGCAGAACCATCTGTATGACACCCATGCCCCAATTCCTTACCAGTGCCAAACACACCCGTTACGTCAGAACCAGCCTACATACCGTGGTTAAGGGAGCCAGGTAGAGTTTGCCTTGGATATCCAACTGGAAAACAAAGAAAGAGGAAGAGCATTTTAGAGCTTTCCAAAGGGAGGCTTATTGTCCCTAGTGTAACAGCATTTCTGCGCACATTTTCTCTCCTAAGTCATCCGCAGTCAAGTTCAGAAAGGCAGAATTTACGGCACTTGCAGAAGGGCAATTCTAAAGTAGCAAATACCCATTGTCCCACCAGCATGAGGGGACCTGTAAAGTATTTATTACTAACTGAGAAACATCACAACTCTTAGAAATCCAACTAGTCAACTCCCTGAGCCTGTGAGAGATGCAAAACAGGATAGAAGGGAAGATGGATAGGGAGAGGCAGGAGAGGAATGCACAGTGCACGTGCATTGGTAACATCCTACTCTTACCCACAGCCTGGAGACCTAGGGGTTTATTCTGTGTATGGAGAATCATGCACACACTGAAGGCAAGGCTCAAACCTGAGATCCAGGAGCTGTCTAATCATGGTGGACAGCATTAAACAGTTGGATCCAGTTGTGTGCAGCAGCCCTATCTCCTTGCTAAGGGAGTGTGATACCCACCTTGACTATAAGATGACCCCACAGATGAAAAAAAATGCCTTTGAGCTCTCATTTAAACATGGATTTGAACAGATTTTTCCACCCATTGGCCAAAGGAACAAAGCCTAGTGTTTGTCCATGCAGAAAATACACAGGGTGCCCCACCCCAAGGCCATGTACAGCAGGTATACAGCAGCCTGTTTTTACACACCTCCATTGGAAAAAAAATCAGTCCTGCCCCATCACTTTTCTTCGTGCACTTCTCCCCCCACAACTGCTCTGTTCCTCTCCAACGATGATATTTGTGGGTCTATCCATTTAGCGCCCCTCCTAGAAACACAGCCATGCTGACTAGGTGGCTCTTCTTCCTGCCTGACTCCTCCATCTTCTTGGGAAAGGCACCTATGGCTCCTCAGTGCACTCACTCAGCCAAGATTCCTACACCCCCAAGCTGAGGTGTTTTAAACCACTTCGACTGCTGTCCAGCAGACCCCAGCAGAAACCCATGTCCACTTGCACCAGAGCTGCCCCCATGGCTAGGACCCCCGCACCAGTTATAGCACTTACCGTTTTCTTCTCACATGGCCGTAGTTTTACGATATCCTCATCAGTCACAGAACCTATTGTTTTGACAGCAGAGTTCTCCAATTCACTCGTGGGGCAAGGGCTTTGTGGAGCCACTGGTTTGGGAGCATCTCCACCCTCTGTTGGTACCTGAAGATCTTGTGCTTCCTCTCCATGTTTCAAACCCACACTCTCAGGGCTGCTCCTGGATGCTGTGCAGTTTGTCACCCCCTTCTCCCCTGCTGAGCCACTTGTGGCTTTATTTCCCCCTTTGCTGCCAGCCTTGGCCAGTTGACAAAGGTACTTGTTGGCTTTTTCAAAGCAAACCTTCTTCTTGCGCAGCTGCTGTTGGAGCTCCTTGCTGAGGTTGTTCCTCACCTGTGATTTCCCTTCCCACTGCTTCATAAGGTCCTCATTAACCAGGTTCCTGTAATCCTCCCCAAGGTGGGTCTTAGCAAAGCGGCAAGTGACTCCATAAATACACTTCCCAAAGGTCTGGAAGAGCACGCAGCTCTTTCCGAGATCGGCAGGCTTCACAGCCATGTACTCCCCCACATCATGTAGGAAGCGGCACTGTGAGCCGAAGCGGCAATTCTCTGCATGTTCCTTTAATGACAAGCACATGTTGCTGATGTAAGACCTCCACCAACTCCCCAGCAAATTTTTATGCTATGCAACAGAAAGCAACTGTTGCACTTGTTCACAAGAACAGTATGTCACTTCTAGACAAACTACCTGGACCCCTTCAAAGCAAAAATGAAGCCAGAGTTGGCCTGCTCCTGACAGTAGCTACAGATTCTTTAATTGTAAGCCACCTTCCAAGAATTTGGGTTCCTAATGCATCAGCAGCAAGGGATACATTTTGCTGTGATATGGATATGCTCTTCTGGAAGGGATACTTCAGCTGCAAAGCCTCAGGGAAGCTGTGTGGTATTTAAGCCTTGTTTATCTTTGTGGTTTTTGCAGTGGTGCAACCTTCTCCCCTGAGAATATAATACACAGTTTGCATTGGTGCATCACATCCCAGTAATTCATACCAGGGCCAGCCCCATTTGGCACTCATAGCACATCTGTATAAGGATTTGCACTGGGAGGTTACACCTGCGATGCTATACTGGTGCAATTTTTCCTCAACTAGACAAGCCCTAAGGGAAGGTTCAACAGAGTTTAAGCAAGTTCTTTGAAACCTCTGGATGCAAAAGTCAGTGGGTTACAGCCTATTCCATGCACTCACCTGGGTTACTGATGGGCACAGCCTGTTCTTTTCATAATGATTTGGCTTCATACATGGCCGATTCTTGTTCTGTCCTCGGGCTCTCTTCCTTTCCCGGGGTTCCTCCCTCCCTCTTGCACCTTCCTCAACTTCTCCTTGGCTTTCTTCCTTCCCAACTTGATCACCACTGTCCAGCTTCAGTCGTTTGGCTGGAGGCTCATTTTGGTCATTGCTGGTAGACTCTTGCTCCCCATCAACCTGATTGATTTCCTGATTCCTGGATTCCCTTTCTGCTTTAAGATATGTGTGGAACTGCTCTTTGGAGGAGAGATACCTACAGAGCAAGAGAGTTCTCATTAAACATGTGCCTGGTGGTTTGACATATGCTACCTGCATTGTTCTTCTGACGATGAGAACAGGGAGTCAAAAAGCAGCAAATTCCCAACAAAGCAGCTGAAATACATTATTGCTCTTTTAGCTGCACATGGCTCATGAGTGCAAAGCACAAAGTGGCCACATCCAGATGAGTGCAGATGTTTGGTTCCCCAGGTACAAGTAGCTGCAGCACGGGGAACGCCGTGCCATGTGCACTTTGGTGTGCGACGAGTCACCCTGGGTGGGGTAGGGGAGGTAAGGTCAGCAGCCTTACCTGGGGTCCTAGGGCTGCAGCTGTGGTGATCCTGCCGGCAGAGCCTGGCTGGCAGCTGTAGCACGGCTCTGGGTGGCCCAGCTCTGCTTTTCAGGGGTCAAAAAGACCCGCAGAAAAAAAACCTGGAGCAGTGCACATACGGGCAGCATGCCGTTGCAGCGCAGAGAACAGCTGACTGCACAGCTGCACTCATCTGGGTGTGCCCAGTAGGGTCATTCTTGGCCTGCTCTTCCCCTCTTCTTTCAAGATGCTGGGCTTACAGATTGAGACCTGCTTCTCCACTACATTCAGGCTCTGCCTAAAGTAAGTAGGAAGTACCTACTCATATTGGTCTAGAGGGAAAGGCAATCAGGACTCACAAGAGAGATGATATCTTTTATTAGACCAACGAGATTTTTTTTTTTTTGCAAGAGTTTTGTTGATATCATCTCTACTAGGAAGTGTCTCGCGCTTCTGATACACAATGCTTTACAGCGGCAGACAATTGGGCACAGCAAAGCTCGGCTCCCATTTCTGCCCCAGCGCACCTCCAACCGTCTCCTCGGTGGCTGGGCACAGGGGCAGCTGGACGGTCTCAGGCACCTTGTGCTGCGCAGGCAGCATGTCCTGCAGACGCGATACGGAGCAGTTTGCAGAGACCACATCAGCGCAATGGTCAAATGCAAATGACAGCTTTGACGTGCCCAACCCAAGCGTGTGCCCTGCCGAGCTGCACGTTGCTCATGTCGGTGGACGTCTCCAAGGCATTTGAGACAGCTCCCCACCTTCACAAGTCCGATAAAGCCTCGCTGTCACCACCTTCATTGGTAAAGCCGTCGCAAGCCTCGCTGCTGCCGCCTTGTTTTAGAGTGAATGGCAAAACTGTGCAAGCGTCTGCAGGGACTGCTCACGTGAGGTGCGCTCACCTCACCTGCGTCTCCTCCTGCCTTGACTGTTTCTACCTGTGGTGGGTTTTGACATTGCCTCAGTCTGAAAGCTCCCTGCGATGAAGAATTTAACCAGCTGGCAGAGCACACGGCAAAACGGGGCCCTGACCTCGGACTCGGCCCTCGCTGCCTGTTCTCCCGGGATAAAAGCCAGCTGTTTATCCTGGGAGAGACAGAGCACCCGCCCGCCCACACCGCCGGATTGGCGGGGCTCGATCCCTTTGGGGAGGGGGAGGATGCTTTTTATGGCGGGACAAATAGGGGCGTGACGAGCGTGGGCAGACAGACGTGCAGCACCTGCCACCCGCCCCGCCCCACACTCACCCCGCGCGGATGCACGCCACGCCGGCCGCCGCCTCCATGCTGCCCCGGGGAGCGCAGCGCGCATGCGCATAGCCCGGATGCGGGAACAGGACGGAAGGGGCATGGGCTGTACCATGGGGAGGTGGAGGGAGCCGGCTGGGCCATACCATGTGGTGGGGGAGGGGACGAGAGTATAAATAGCCGGGCGCAGGCGATAGGCAGGTGTTTGCCGGTAGGGGCCCGCAGAGGCGGTTGGGTGTTGGTGGGCTCTGCGGGGTATGTGTTTAAAAAAAACCAAAAAAAAAAAAAAAAAGGGAAAAAGAAGGGCTTTGCAGGGGATGTGTTAACGAAAAAAGAATGGAAGAAGAAGAAAATCTCTGTAGAAAATGTATTTAAAAAAAGAAAAAATAGGGCTCTGCCAGGGGTGCATTTAAAAAAAGGGGAAAAAAAAAAAGAAAAGGGCTCTTACGGGGATGTGTTGAAAAAAAGGGCTCTGCAGGGGATGCATTGAAAAAGCAAGGAAGAAATGAGAAAGAAGAAAGGCTCTTCAGGGAATGATTAAAAAAGGACTGTAGGGGATGCATTAAAAGGGCTCTGCAGAGATGTTAAAAAAAGGAAAAAAAGAAAGGTTCTGCAGGAAATGTATTAGGAAAAAAACAGGCTCTCCAGGGGATGCATTTAAAAAAAAACAAGAAAAGGGCTCTCCAGGGGATGTTGAAGAAAAAAGGAAGCAAGGAGAAGGAAAGAAGAGAGGTTCTGCAGGGAATGTATTAAAAAAAAACCGGGCTGTGCAGGGGAGCCTGCCACAGCCTCTCCGAGTCAGGGCTGCCTAGCCCTCCAGAAAACGCGGGGTGTGGGGGCACAGCCCCACTGGCCTATCGTGGCACCGAGCCTGGGGAAGCCAAAGCTGGTGACCCGGGTAACATGGTGCCAGAGCCTACGTCTCTCAGCTGCTTGTGCAGCCTTTCCCTCAGGGTCAAAGTCCAGCAACTATTATAGGGTCAGCACCAGCTCCGAGGCCTGCATCATTTCTTGGAGCGCCACCCCCCCGGCCCTGCCTGCCTGCAGCTTCACCCACCTTGTAGGCCCCAGGGCAGGGGCACCCCCATGGGTGTGCCCAGGCAGCTGTGGCTACTTTTCCTTTAAAAAAGTAGCTCACTTGCCAACTTGTGCAGCCCTTCAAGTGCTGAGATGGCCTGGTTGTGTGGCAGCCCTTTCATTGTCCATCTTTCCCTTACTTCTGAAAGTGCTTGTTCTCCAGCAGGATATTTCTTAAGTTGACCTACTGGGCCTCCACTCTGGGTCCTAGGGGGAGGGAGAAGATGGAGCTTTAAAGAAGTTAGAGGTGAAAGGAGTTAGAGTTGGTCATTGCTGGTAGACTCTTGCTCCCCATCAACGAGATTGATTTCCTGAGTCCTGGATTCCCTTTCTGCTTTAACGTATGCGTGGAACTGCTCTTTGGAGGCAAGATACGTACAGAGCAAGAGATTTCTTATTAAACTAGTGCCCGGCGGTTTGACATACACTACCTGCAAGGACCTCATTTTTCTTATGATGATGAGACTAGGGAGTGAAAAATAGGGAGCTGTTTTCTTCCGAGTAGAGTAAATTAGTCATCCCAAGTTTTAATGTAAGAGGGAGAGTGGAGAGGAGAGGCCCCCTGGCTCCACTGTTGTCACTTCCACAGCAAAGAATGACTTTTTTTAATGAACTAGCACCTTGTAGCCATATAGCCACCAGTGCTTCATGAATATGAAGTGCAGCATATATCCATATATCTAGCCATATTCCCAGCACTTCATGAATTTGAAGGCTAGCACCTTCTACCCATGTATCCACCAGCACTATTCCTGCTTGATGCAGGGCGCTGGACCTGATGATCTTCTAAGGTCCCTTCTGGCCTTACAATCTATGAAGCTATTAATATTGAGCTGCACACAATCCACATACAGTAGGCAAATATTATCCCTATTTAAAGTTGGAGGACCTTGCCTCAGTTCCCAGTCAGTCAGTGGCCAAACTGGACTCTGTCTCCATTAATAAAAGCACGTATTTTGTGAGGAAGCTGCCCTTTAGCCCTCCTTGTCCTAAAAACAGTGCTTTGTCTTTTAAGGTTATTTTCCATATTTCCAAGCAGCTACATTTGTTTGCAGCACATGACTCCTCCTTGTTAAGGTGGCATATGCAGGACATACTCCAAGTTGCCAATCATTTGATCTAAACTGAGGGTATGAACTATTTCATGTTGAAGAGCAAAGTAAATCCAACTCCCAAGAGTTTCCCATGAGCAGGGCTGCACTGCTGGTTGCTCTACTGACAAAGTTTTCCATGTTACAACCCAAGTAAGGAATGGGAAGGTTTCATACTCCCCTCCCTCCTGGCCGGTGGGAAGAAATTATGTGCTTTCTGTATGCGTCTCTCAACGAGCTGCAAGGCTTAGTGCCTTCTTCCCAGGGACAGCTCCCAAACTGTTTGGGTAACATGATAGATGGGGATGTTGCCAAACAATAACCCCTGGGCCCTGGGAATGTAGATCATCTTCTCAGGGTGATTCAAGCCGTTACATATATTGGCTGCAGCACTGGGACCCTGCCAGAAATTCTTGGGGGGTTGGGGCCAATACGTTACACAGCTCGGCAATCAGCAGGGCAGGAAATCACCAGTGCTTTGCTCAGACCAGTTAAAGAGTCTTTCCTTGTGACATTTTTGGCCTGTGGGGTGCCAATTGAAGACAGTGAGCAATACTCCAGCTGCAGTGCTTCCCTGTTCTTCAGCCAGCACGCAGCTGAGAAAAAGGGGTTGGGTCTGCTATTGCAGCTTCGGACTTCAGTAAATGCAGGAAATCGCTTCCAAAAGTGTAGATTCATCCTTATATCGGAAGCAGAGAGAAGGCTTCCCTTGTCTAAGGATTTTGCAGGGGCTGATCTGACCCCGGCTCAGGATAAGTCAGCTCCCCCTACTGCAACTGAGGATGAGCAAATGGTTATGCCTCTGCACCTGCAGCATAGATGTTCAAGGGGGCAGAGTTAAGGTTATTCATGGAACTTTTTACTTTCATATTTCCTAACTTCTGGGACTGAATGGTAGTCCCTTCAAGTCTCACCGGGATTGCATTTTGGCTGGAACGTTCAATGTAGCAGAAACGTTCTTTCCTTCTCGGAGGGTGGGCAGCATCACGTGCCTCGGGCATGTCGCTGGGAGAAGCGATTTTGGCTGATTGGATATTAATTAGTTCTGGAGAGAAATGTGAGGAATGTAGAATACTATTTTAAGCTTCAGTTTGGCTGAGGAAAGGGAGGAAGGAAGGAAATGGGGCCCTGGGGACTAATGAAATGAGTTCACTGATGTTTTTGTGGAGCAACGCACTGAAAGCAATCTGCTTTTGACTCCATCTGCGGTTGGCCGGGGTCAGAGCTGTCCATGTCTAATCCCTTCCAGTGCGGCGTTGAGAGAGTTTATGAAGCAGATCTTCAAGATTTTGTCCTGAGGGTCTCTGAATTAAGGTCCTAGAAAATGGAATAAGACATATCCAGATTCACCCACTGAAATCAAGCCCTGGCTGGTTGGTAGTGCTTGAAAATGCTCCGTGGCTGCTTCATGACATACATGAATGAAGTCTAGGGGTCTCAGTCTTCTCCTGGACAGCCTCAGTAGGGATGTCCAGCGCTCACTCCTTTTTCACCCCTAGCTCTACCTGGGTCTCATTTGTTTTGTGAAATAAGGAGAACAAATGCACGTGAAGCCTGCATTCCTGCTGCCTGGTCTGTGACTAAATGTGAAGCTGGAAGCCCCAGGGCTGCCAACCCAGCATCACTCACTGGCACTGAAATAACCTTGAAATAAAAGCAACACTCAATTAACTTGCAGTGAAAGGCAAAAAGTGAAAGGTCAGCCACAGGAAGGTGTGATATACACAAGGAGAACCGAATTAGAAACCATGCGGTCAATTAATTAACCAAGTTAAACAGGACTCGTTAATGAAAATATATGTTCTGCAGATTCCTGCACAAGTCAGGTACTTCAGGCTCATCGGCTACTCAGATATGGAAAAAAAGCCAGGATGCGTATCAGCCAGGAGAGGGCACTCGTACAGCTTTTGATATAGTGTAATAGAAACCCAGACATGCTACTTTTGCTTGGACATTAGTGTAATTGCACTTGTCAGTGTAAAGTTTTGACAGTCTCCCTTGCTGGGGGCTGTGCGGGGCAGTGTGTCGCAGCTTCTGGATGTAAGCAGAGAAATTAGCATGGAAAAGACTGACCATGTCCTGTTCGCCTGACCTTCAATGTGAGATCCTGGTGTATATTTTCTACCTTTTGTCCACTCGACTGCAAGTTCCATTGAGTCCTTCTGTCCAGGAGATTGATCCTGGTCAAGGTTTTTTTCTTGACATTAAAGCTTAGAGCCTTAGAACCAAATCTAACCCAAATTCATGATTGATTTCATCCTTTTTGAAACTCACGTTTTCAGCAAATTTACTAGTTGCTGAAAATAAAAATTGGCCAGCTCTCCACAGTACATCTTGCCTCTTCCCTTGCCCACATCCCTGTGGACACACAGCTTGCACCTGCTGGCTCACGGCCATCTACAGCGACATATTTTCATACGGCCCATCCTGTTGCACATGTACTTGCGCTGTGTACCCCTGTCTACATTCTCACCTTCAACATCTTCACGTCTCTGCCTCTCACACACATGCACACCTCTTAAGCACTTTCTTGACCTGTGCTACAGATCGACTACTGCCTGATGCTTCACAATGATGATGCTACAGTCTTTTTCTCAAGAGGTTAAAAGCTACCTTAAGACCTGGTCCTTCCCCAGTAGTTGCATCCTAAGTCCCCTCCTGTGGTGAACACAGCCAGTGGTGGGTGTCCTGTGTTAGGGTCCCTCTAATTAGTAACTGGGTGACAACAGGATGTAGGGCGAGTTGTTTTACAACCTAAGTACCTTGTCCATATATTTGTTGCAAGCAGTTTGTGTAAGCCTCTGCTACTAGAAAGCAGACTCAGGAATCAGCTGGCTTGCCACAGATCCATGCAATAGGAAAAACATGCCTGGATTGTAGCTGCAGCCTCTGTTTGTCCTCAGTCCCA